CCATTACATTGTTAACAAACTAAGTTAATCTGTGCATTAAATTTGGGTTACTGAAAACAAGAAGAAATGAAAAAAACAAAAAACAAAAAAACACTTTATGATGTTAACTAACTAGCTGTTTAAGGTTGTATCGGACAGACCAAAGACATCAAAAGATATCACACAGCCAAATATCCAACAACACTCACTATATCTTCAACTGAATTACTCTGAAGCCTTGGGCCTCACAGGCCTAAATTTCCAGCAGTGTCTAGTGATTTGGTCAGAACAAGACCATTTGGTTTGGCAGGAACAGGATCAAGTGCTAAGTATCTACCCTCTGAAACTCAGGCCCCTTTAAGATCTCAAATTGGACGGACGGACACACACACCACTTTTGAATATTTGTTTTTCATTCCACCCCACCTGGTAAATAAACTATAATAATCTCTTCCTCTTCCTTCACAAGGGGTTTGAGGATTTGTTATTACCTTGTAACGTATATTTTAAACGTGTAAAGTGAAACGCAAGTGCTAAGTATTATTACTTTTATTCAGATTTCTCATCCAATAAATTAATTGAAAGCAAAACACTTGCTCAGTACAGCGGTGTTCTGCAATCACACACATTCATAACAAACTCTGGGTAATCTAACACAAGTTATACAATTTTACAGAAGAAATTATTTACACGCAGCCTAAAACACAGCAAAGCCTTGTATGGTATAAAACGCAATGACAGTTCATAGCTACCAAAAGAATATTGATTGACAGTCTCTGTCCCAGGCAGAAGACCAAGCACATCAAAGCAACCAACTCCATAGGTGCCCCCATGAGATACTGTTGCATAGGGGTTCTCCCAATCTTAGGGGGGCCCCCCTTCTTTGTACCACAAGTATCACATTTCCTGCACCAGTTTTCTACATCCTGCCCGCACTTCCCTCAACAGAAATTTTCTCTTCGCTTGGCTAAAGTTTTGGCAGCCCCAAAATATCCAGCAGTTTTACATTTATGACAAACAGTGAAAAAGGAGGTTCTGAGGTTATCTGATACAACCAGCTGGTTTCTCCCATCTTTCATGCAATCTCTCATCTGTCAACCCCAAGATTCCCCACTGTGACCAGAAAGCTTTTACTGTGGTATTTTGAGGGGATGCTACATTGCAAAGTAGCTGCATTTGCCAAATGATTTTCTAATCACACACACTTCTAAATCAGGATCCTCTCTTTGGGAAGCTTTTAGTTGCTCTAGGGTTCATTTCTGAAACCCCACATCCTGTGCTCCAGGACGTGAACCAGGAACCACTGCACTTCTGCAAATGAAGGGAAGAGAGGAGACAGCCATTTCTTCCTGAGCACACTCATTCCTTTGAGTAACCAATCCCTTGCTCTCCCGCCTAAGGCAGTGTTTGCCATTAGCCTCCCAAGGAGGCCATCAGCATTACCATGATTGTGCCCACAGCTGTTGTGTGACTATGAAATCACAGCATGGCAGTTTTTCCAACCACCTGGCAAGTGGCCCCTTAGGATTCCTGAATCTAAAGAGCCATTGCCAAGATGCACAGTCTATCCTGACCCATACAGATAAGTGGTGAAAAATTTCCACTAGGAACTCCTAGCAGTTGTTAAATCTATCACATGGTGCGGTAATTTCTCTCTGGAGAACGTAGACTTCTTCTGCAATAAGCCATTACCCTCTCAATGTCTCTGTGTTCTTGTGTCATGACTGTCCCCAAACCGGGAGCATTAGTATCTGTAGGGAGGCTAAGGAGCAGCTGTGAGAGCCCTTTTCAACTCTAATCACATTCAGCGTGTCCTTTGGAGGATCCTCCTCATCCCACTTTCTGTAGGGATTCCACAGGGCTCTGGTCCTGGGTCCCCTTCTCTTCTACCACTCCACCTGAACGCCAAGAAATTTCAATCACAAATTCAACAACCAACTCACAGATCTGCCTTTCTACTCCAGACCTGTCTCCTATCCGAAGGGGGGGACAAACCACACTCCCTGTCTCTCTTACATCTCCTTGGGGATGTCTAGTCATTTAGCTCAACATGGCTGAAATAGAGTTCTTTATCTCTTTCCCTCCTCTCACTCCCTGCTACCTCCTTTCTCAGTCACTGTGGGCAATACCACCCCACCTGCCCATCCCCCTACATACACACACACTTTCACCTCTGCGATAATTCACTGCATTTATTTGCTTTCGATAACCCAGGTAAATTTTGCAAAAGCATTGGCTATAACTGCACATGGATTTCCAGTGTAATACTATCATATGTTGTGCTGCTCTTCTATAGTATTTCAATGATCTCAAAACTCTTTGCAAACATTAATGCTTACAGGTAGGCATTCTACCCATTATACAGCTGGGTAAGCAGAGGTAGATAGAGCTTAATTGACCTCCCCAAAGTTCCTTAATGAGTCAGCAATCAAAACGGGGCGGGGGGGATCCTGGCCAATGAAGTGAGAGTTTTGCAATCGACACCAATGGAGATGGGACTGCATGAGGTGATCCTGACTCTCATTCCCTGGCTTATAAACTTTTAATATTATGCACTTATTATTATTCTTCAGAGCACACTGCAAGCGAACACTAGATATATTCTCACCCACCCTTACAAATCCTAGGCTAGAAGCAAATGGGAACCTCTATCCAGCTATGCAGTGCCTAGAAGTCACATTAGCATCTATACAGATTTATCAAGGTTACCGATAATCAACAGCAGATAGCTAAACCTTAACAGCTGGTGTTTTCCTGGCTAGCACACTAGAGTAGAGGTCACAGAAGCGTTCAAATCATAAATGCACATTCACAGCAAATGAGTTTGGGGAAAATAAAAAATAAAATAAAAAAAATCAGAGATATCACCTGCCTAAAGCATCAGCATGTTCCTTTCATACAAAATTCTTTAGCTGAACACAAGGTTAAGTCAGATCACACCTTGACTACAAACAGAATTTTTTGCAATCCTACCAAGTACCTTCCAATCACATGCAGAGTATACAGAGCTTACTGTAGTGGAAACAGGGCTGGTCTCACTGGGTCAAAATGTAACCCCTAGCCCCAGGCACAAGAAGCCACAGGAGGGATAGACAGTCATGCAGCTTCTACTGCTCCAGTCAGTCTGGCGTGAGCCAATACAGTGAAGCAGTTGGCTTCACCAGAGAGTGAGTCTGCTCTTTGTGCATTGTCAGGGAACAAGAAACGTAGGGTCAGGAGAGAGAACAGGAAATTGCTTTTTTGTCAGTTTTCATTTTATCACTCCAGAGATTATAGTTCAAAAGTGGAATGTACACTTGTTGCCCACAGACACCATCAGACCAGCCCTGTTTACCCATCATAAATATTTACACACAAGCCACTAAACTCAACATTTGCAGATAAGTGGGCTCAGTAGTTCTTATTTCTATACGGATGAGAGCTACTCAGCAGTGGCCATAACTGCACTGTTTTCTCTAACACGTCTAAAAATATGTAATGCATCAGTGAGAAACTTTAGTGGGTCTAGATTTCCACTTGGCTCCATGCGGTGTCTTTGACACGGATTAGTTTCGCCGGGATCTCATGTAGGCATAAAGCCATGAGCTTCAAATATACAGGACAGTCACAGTCTGAAGATAAACAACAACAACAACAAAAGAGCTACACACAACCACAGAAATAAGAACTATGTATAAATATTAAAGGACAAAATAAAGGGCCAGCTATTTACATGCACAACGAAACGATGCAGCTTGCATCACAAGACATGCTGCCAAGTGAACTGCATTTCCCTATGTTCCGCTTCCAGTTTCAAAATCACTTCAGTATCTTTAATAGACCTTAAAAAAAACCTCCCTGGGGTCCCAACAAGAATGTCACAGGCAGCCATTTGGAAGAGAGAAATCTGGGTGGAAAAGGGAGGGGACCAGCACTTGTTGGTTGAAGGCACAGAAGTGACACGAAGATCACAAGGGTAGGCGCAGAAGAATCGATTTACCAAAGCAACTTTCTAGAGTACCACAGAGCGCAGCTCAAATTAAAGGAAAGCCTACAGCACGCCGGGTAGAGGAAGCTCCATTGTCCCCTGAAAAATGTCCTAGTTCAAAGCAGCTTTCAACTGTAATTTTGATTTTACACAACAGCCGCTCAGTTCTACAGAGAGACACACACACCTGCCTAAAATAAGCATTCCTCAGTTCATTTGCTCCCACAATTCCCAATTATCTGCTCTGGATTCTGAGACTATTAATAGTTGCGTGTGGTTACTCCAGGCTCTCAAACTCCTTCCCCACCCCGCTTCCCAGCGCATATAGATTTCAGCTGGGGTGTGGAAGGGAGAGCAAAGGCCTTTTCCCTCTAGGATGCTGTATGGACAAGTTCCACGCTGTGTGTGCAGATGCCAAGCCTTTCTCCCCAATGAATGCACACTGCCAATTAGCAAGGGCTATAACCAACTCCTCTAGCCTCCCCCCCCCCCCATCCTTTCATTATGGAGCATTTGGGGTGGGGAGGAAGATCAATTACATCGACCTTAGGGTGGGGAGAATAGTTCTCTCTCTCTCCCCTAGAGAGGTACTTTTTTTTTTTCCAATCCTTCCTCCTTCTAAAGCAGGAGTTAGCCAAGCAGTTGCTTAGCAGACCACCCCCCGAGATCGAGTTGCAGGGGATCCCCGTCTAGACGAGATGGGCCTGACCTGGGGGGTTCTGCCACCCCGGGACAGGCACCTGGTGTTTTAGAACGAGCGGTCAGAATACACGCCAAGATCTGGGGCAGGAAGGGCTGCCCGGGGAAAGTCTGAATTACCCTGATCGCTTTGCAGACACACGCCAATCTTTGGGGGATTGTTTGGCTGGGTGGGTGGGTTGTTGTTGTTTTTAAAGGAACGAATGTATTTAAAGTGACTTTTACATGCTGGCATGCAAAGCCCCCCTCCCCCTTAATCACACACGAGCCAAGAGGGATCCCCCCCCTCCTCCCTTGTGCTTGTTTTGGAGAAAGTAAGTCTGCGGGGGGGGAAACCTTCTCCCCCCCCCCTTACCTAGTGCCTTTGCTAATCGCTTCTTCTTCCAAATCGTCCTCCTCCTTCTCTCCTTGTATAACGAGGATCCGTAAAGTAAGAAGGGGGGGGGGAGTTTGGGAAGGAAATGAGCAAGTGTGTTTGGAGGGGGGGGGGAGAGAAAAAACAATCCAAATATCCCCTGGATCAAGTGCTGGAGGAGGAGCGCGCGGCTCGGTCTCTCTCCCCTTCCATCTGCGGCTGTGTTTATAAATCCAGAGCCGGGGGGGGGGGGGGGGGTCTGTTTTCCCCGGAAACCCCCCCTCTCCTCTCCCCCTGCCTAAGATGTCTGTCTGCGGCGGCGGCGGCTCGCTTCTCCGGAGCCTTTGCAAAGGAGCAAGTTTGCGATCCGCCTCTGGCGGCGGCTGCTCCTGCCGCCCGCCCGCCTGCTCCTCCCCTGCGATCCGGGGTGGGGAGGGACCGGGGGCAGGGAGATGGAGAGCAGCGATCCCCCCAAGCCGCCCGGCTTGCACCAAACAAACAGCTTGGCTTGCAACAGTCGAGTCCCCGGGCTTCTTAAAGGGGCCGGGGCCAGGGACTGCGCCGGGTCCATTCACACGCTGCCACTTTCCCTTTCCGCAGGCGGGCGGCCGGGCTTCCTTTCCTTTTATTTTTTTTTCTCTCTCTCTCTACAACGCAATTCGTTGTTGCAGAGCGGGAGGCGACTCTGGGCATTGCAGACAGCAGGGCATGGCCCGTGCTCCCTACTGACCTGCAATATTCACCGGGCTGTTGGCAAGGCTGAAATGAGACATTGCCAGCGGTAAATCTGGGAGCCAATTCTGCTAAAAAAAAGAAATTAAAAAAAAAAATCTGGAGGATATAATGAGAACTTCATCTGGGGCCCCAGTCCTGGGATTTTACGCTTTATTCTGGCACCCAACCCTGTGAAAAAAGCCTATACACCAAGTGGTGAGCAAAACCTAGACCTTCAAGAGCAAGTGACCAACACTGATTGATTACAAAGCGGTATAGGCAATGCTAGGGCCCTGACAAGCAGGCCCCTGGTTAACGTTAGTCCTGCGTTGCCAGCTCTCCTGATTTTATTGCATGGCTCATGATATTTGGTGTTTTTCTTAAAGGCCCAGCTCCTGGAGTCAAATGATTTCATAAGATTCTTAACTTTCTTTTTTTAAGTAAGTTTCTAGCCCTCACAGTTGCAGAGAAAAACCTTGGAAATGTGACTCGAGTGCATGCTAAACGCTGGGAAGCCAGAGAACCATTTTTTTTTAGAAACCTCCTTTTATTAATCAAATAATATTAATTAATAACACCTAGCTCTTATATAGCACTTTTCATGAGTAGCTCTCAACCCTTTACAAAGGTCAGTGAAAGTCAGTCATGATTTTTGGAGGCATGACATGACTTTTGAATGCTTGTGGTTGACAACACTGCTTTACACACGACGGGGCTACTCGCAAGCGTGTTAAACGGGTGCATGTGTCTGCAGGATTGGGATCTAACTCACATGCATAAGTATTGGCAGAATCGGGCCCAGAGTTGTAATAATATTTCCAGATGGTCTGTGGTTCTGCAAGCTTTCTCCTCAAAGAAAACCCCATTTATTTCAGTGAGAATTGAGGCTTCTAATTAACATGAAAAATCAATTCCAACATATCCAAGTAAAACTTTCTCATGTGTTTTAAGAAACTAACAGTTCACACAAGGTGTTAAAGGAGCATTTCAAAAAGTTCTGTCTGATTGCAGTTTATTTAGTTTGACAGTTTTTCCTATTTGGTCATTTCTTTTTAGCAGGCACAAAACCTTTCTGTTTAAAGATTCGTCACAGTTTATGCTGGGGGGAGGAGAGTGAGGGGGGAATGCAAAAGAGGCCTTAACCATTGGACTGGTTACATTGCTTTATAGTATCCAAACACACCTCTGTCAGATTGTTTTACAACAGTTCAGCGCATCTGCAGGGAGAACTGAAAATCACTGCAGGATTTGCAGGCAAAAAAAGAAAGTCATGCCTCTGTTTAAATAGCTGTGTAATGGGCAGGGGGGCATAAACTTACCTACCCCAGGAAATTCAAAGTTATTGTCAGCATCCTCGTGAAGTTGTGAGTGTGGGGGGAGGAAATTTTAGGACTTGATTTTCACAGGTGTTGAGCACCCATAACTCCATCTGAAGTCAATGGGAAACGCAGGGTCTCAGCACCACTGTACAGTATATAATGAGACAAATTCTGCCCTGGAATACATGCATTTATCGTCCATTGACTTCAGGGGTGGCTAACAATCAATAATAATAATACCTAGCTCTTTACAGCACTTTCCGTCAGTAGATCTCAAAGCACTTTACAAAGAAGGTCAGTATCAATATCCCCATTTTACAGACAGGAAAGCTGAGGCACAAAGAGGCAAAGTGACTTCCCCAAGGTCCCTCAGAAAGGCCAGAACTGGGCCCCTGTGTCTTGAATCAGAATTTCCTGGTTTGGCTGGTTTGTGCCCCAAACTGGACATTTTGGAAAATCCGGGCAGTTTAACGAAAAGAGAAATTCAGAACATTCCAGAGTGAGGAAAAAAGCCCACTTCTGAATCCTCTCTTCAGCTCATTCCCACCAACTGGAATTAATCCAGCCCCCCCCCCCCCCCCATCTTCCAGTTTTTCCACCATTATTTCATTTGCTGGTGCTCCCCTCGCCCCCATCTTCCCTAACTTTTGGTCCCGATCCTGCAATCCACAAGGAGTTCATAGCAAGAGCAGGGCTTGCGTGTGTTCCTCCGCCGCAGGCCAGCACAATCAGACACGACCCATCATCTTTGTGCCAACACCTCTAGAACTAAAAGTACGAGTCTCCATAGCTTGAGTTAAACCAGGGGTGGGCAAACTTTTTGCCCCGAAGGCCACATCGGGGTTCCGAAACTATATGGAGGGCCGGGTAGGGATGGCTGTGCCTCCCCAAACAGCCTGGCCCCCGCCCCCTATCTGCCCCCTCCCACTTCTCACCCCCTGACTACCACCCTCAGAACCCCCAACCCATCCTACCCCCCTTGCTCCTTGTCCCCTGACCACCCCCTCCCGGGACCCCCCACCCCTAACCACCCCCTGGTATCTCACCCCCTATCCAACCCCCCCTGCTCCCTGTCCTCTGACTGCCCCGACCACTATCCACACCCCCACCCCCTGACAGGCACCCCGGGACTCCCATGCCTATCCAACCCCCTCTGCTCCCTGTCCCCTGGGACCCCCCTGCCCCTTATCCAAGCCCCCCACCCCCTTACCATGCCGCTCAGAGCCCCAGGACTGGCAGCCGCGCCGCGCCGCCCAGCCGGAGCCAGCCACACCGCCGCACAGTCTAGAACACGGGGGCAGGCTGGCGGCTCTCGCAGCCGCACTGCCCGGCAGGAGCTTGCAGCCCCATCGCCCAGAGCGCTGGCAGCATGGTGAGCTGAGGCTGCGGGGGGACAGCAGGGGAGGGGCTGGGGGCTGGCCTCCCCAGCCAGGAACTCAAGGGCCGGGCAGAACAGTTCCACGGGCTGGATGTGGCCCGCGGGCTGCAGTTTGCCCATCTCTCGGAGTCAAACAGACAAGGCTCTATAGCTTGGGGATGTACCAGACTCACATTCTCTGTGGACCAAGGACAGAGGAGGGTGGCTAACACACCCTGACCAGTAAGTTACTTACAGCAGCTGGTGTAGCATGCGGCCTCTTAATCCCAGGCCTGTGGTTTCCTGCAATATTAGCAACCACTGAGCACACGCGGCTCTTAACAAACAAACTAAACTACTGTGCCATTGCGGTCATTCATTATTTAAAATGTACATGTCTCTGCCATTTTTACGGCCCTGATCCTGCAATGATCTCTGCACGGTGCAAGCTGGGAGAGCTCACAACAAGATCTGGGCCTAAGTCTTCACTTCGGAGCTGACCGGAGTAAGGGTAGGAGGATTGAACTAATCGTTAACAGACTATTGGCCAGCTCAAGCGGACTTTTGTGAACTCTTTGCCGTTCCATCTTTAATAAACTCAAACTCCTTTGCTGAAATATTTAAAGCAGCTCTTTTCCCTTGCAAGAAATATAGGGGTTGACAGGAGTTTGGACGGGGGAGTTTTCCCACCCATTTTAATGAAAGACAGAGCAAGCCCGTAATGTGTTAACTACTCTTTATATAGCTTTTCCGTGCTACGCTAGCAGCATCTTCCACTAACTTTACTTGGATCGTAATGTCAGTGAGGCCCCGATCCTCCAATGCGTTTTACATGGGCATAGGGGTCTGCCTGCATAGAACTCATTACAGGATTGGGACCTGAGAGGGACTCTCTCCCTGGCTTCTTGAGTAATAATAATAATAATACCTAGTCCTTTTCATCAGTAGATCTCAAAGTGCTTTACAAGGGAGGTCAGTCTCATTAACTCCATTTTACAGAATGGGAAACAGAGCGGCACAGGCCAGCGGCAGAGCTGAGATAAGAACCCAAGTCCCTGTCCACTAGCAATGCTGCCTCACTAGTAGAGTTGAATGGGAAGCGATCACCAGGCAGAAATGCGAGGGGTCAGCAGCCTCTCCCTTAGGACTCAAGAGTTAAACTTTGGAGCCTGCTCCCAAAGGTCAGTTGGGACCAGATTCTCAGCTGGTGTAAATTGGCATAGCTCCATTGTAGTCAATTGATTTTCACCAGCTGAGGATCTGTTCCCCCCCACCCCCCATGTCCTATCTTCTTGTCCCATGTCTGTCTGAGGGCTGGCAGTTCGCTATTGCAATTTGTAAAGTTTAAAGCAAGGTCAGGTGGCCCTTGCAAACCACCGGTTCCTTCAATCCCACTTAGGCATGCAGCAGGCAATGCCATTTGAGTGGCTGAGATATTGGCATGCTGCATATTCAGCAGCAGTAATTGGATTTCCGCAGAAGCACTGGGGTTTATTTAGCTGTGTTATTTCTGCTTCTTTCAAGTAGCTTTTGCTGCAGGAAACAACCTGCTTGGGGAGGGGTGAGGGGGGGGAAATGAGCTGCAACCTGTTTGGAGTATTCCTTCCCCCACTGCCCCAGCAGGCACTGGGTATAATTGTAACAAAGGAGGGGC